CAGCATGGCCGGAGAAGCGGCGCGTCGGTGCGCGCCCGGGATCTGAACCCAGGCTGCCAGTAGTGGAGTGCGCGCACTTAACTGCTAAGCCACTGGGCCAGCCCCTAATAAATATGTTGACAAAGCAAAATAAGCATTGATTGCTAATAATAATGACTAATGCTCAACATCACTAATCATTAGAAAAATGCAAATCAAACCAATAATAAGATTCCACCTCACACCCATTAGGATGGCCATTGTCAAAAAAACAGAAAATAACAAGAGTTGGTGAGGATGTGGAGAAATTGGAACCCTTGTCCACTACTGGTGGGAATGTAAAATGGTGCAGCCACTGTGGAAAACAGTATGGCAGCTCCTCAAAAAATTAAAAATAGAAATCACCATATGATCCAACAATTCCACTTCTGGATATATACCCAAAAGAACTGAAAGCAGGGTTTCAAAGAGATATTTGTACACCCACATTAATGGCAGCATTATTCACAATAGCCAAAAGGTGGAAGCAACCCAAATATCCATTGATGGATGAATGGATAAACAAAATGTGGTCTATACATATAATGGAATATTATTCAGCCTTAAAAAGGAAGAAATACTGACATATGCTACAACATGGTGAACCTTGAGAACGTTATGCTAAAGGAAAAAAGGCAGTCATAAACGTACAAATACTATATGATTCCACTTACATGAGGTCCCTAGAGTAGTCAAATTTATAGAGACAGAAAGTAGAATGAGGGTTGCCAAGGGCTGTGGGGAGGGGGAATGGAGAGTTAGTGTTTAATGGGGACAGGGTTGCAGTTTTATAAGATGAAAAGTTCTAGAGATGTGTTTCACAACAATGTAAATGTACTTAACACAACGGTGTACTTAAAAATGGTTAAGATGGTCAATTTCATGTTAGATGTTTTTTACCACAATAAGAAAATCCACCATAAAAAAATAATGACTAATTAGGTGGATATCAAATATTAAATGAGAATAACATACAAGACAAAAACAGGGAAAGAAGAACACAGCATTTTAATGTCTATGTGTTGTTTGGAAAGAGAAGAGAGACATTGCTTTAGACTTATGGTTCAAGTGTGCATACCCAGCATGGAAGGGTCCCAGGTACCCCTGTATTTTCCAATGAAAGCACTGAGGGCTCCTTGGAGAAATGTTGATTCCGGGTCTGGGGAGGGAATATACAAGATAAGCCTGGAACATCTTATTGCACCAGAAAGTGAGGAACCATCAAACACTAACAGGTTGGCCAAAAGGGCTCAGAATCCAACTCCAAGAGGCTTTCAATGGCCAAAGATGGGTATTTGAGCACCAATAAAAAAAAGAAAAACACATCAATTATGTTAAAACCCATCTGTTTATAATGATGCTGGGAAAAAGAAAACCTCATTGGTCACTTTTGGATTAAATTTATGTACGTACTTCTCTTTCCCTCAAACCCACTAAACAAGAGGAAAGAATTTTTTTAAGGTCTAAAACCACAGACAAAAACAGAACAAAACAGAAGAGGAGACAAGAGCAATAAAATCTGGACCCAGAAAGCAGATGGATGAGTTAGAACTTCCTGATTTAGCAAGCCCCAAAGAGCCGAAGCCTACGCCAAAATGGGCACAGCTGAGGAGAATCAGACTCACACTATCAAACTCGCAAAACGCTCTGGAATAAGCAGCACTGGCTACCTTTGGAAGGGGGGCTGAAAATGGTACTAAAAACAGGAAAACTGTTTGAAAGTCTGTTTAAGAAGCCGCTGGATCCCTAGTTCCTCTCCCCAACACTGCACAGCCGACAAATGTCCCTTCTCCTGGCAAAAGACTGAAAGTTTCTTCTTTAACGAGGGTAAAATAGGGGGTCTTTGACTTAGAGGACACCGGACACTGCTGTGGGAGGGGGTGAAAATGAATAGATCTATGCACATATATTTCTTTTTCTTTTTAATAATTTTATTTATTTATTTATTTTCCCCCAAAGCCCCAGTAGATAGTTGTATGTCATAGTTGCACATCCTTCTAGTTGCTGTATGTGGGACGCGGCCTCAGCATGGCCGGAGAAGCGGTGCGTCGGTGCGCGCCCGGGATCCGAACCCGGGCCGCCAGCAGCGGAGCACGCGCACTTAACCGCTAAGCCATGGGGCCGGCCTGCACATATATTTCTAATACTGAGATGCCCAGCCCTCTCCCCACCCCGGCTCCCAGAACAGGGGCAACCAGCCCTTTACGCTCCCAGCAGGACAGAAGTTCCTTTTTCAAAGAATCTAATCACCCAGGAGGAAGGACCTAAAGATGCTTACATTAAAAATTTTCAAATGAAATGGCCCACCCAGACCACCCTCGTGAGAAGCCACAGTTAACAAAGCTCAAAGCTTCCAACCAGCTTTTCGATGGTCCTCCTTAAATAGCTCTGAACAAATGCCACCAGACATGTGAGGCAAACATGCGTGTGAAAAAACTGAGACCGACAACTAACAAACAGGGAAAGCAACATATACAGGGAGAAAATAACTTTTAGAAAACTATTTCAATGCTCAGAGAGGTAAGACGTTGCACACATGAACAAAATTATTCCTTTCAAGTAAAAATAGAGGGGGGCAAGAATGAAAGAGCCTTTAGAAATTTAAAAATATGAAAGCACTCTTTTCTTGGACGTTGGTGGGTGCTGGTTCATGCTAGCCCCTCTGACTCAAGGGCTAAGCCTTCCACCCTGTCCACTGCCCTGGGCCCTCCCTCTGCACCCCCCTGCCCGCCCGCCCCATCCTCCCCTGCACCCCAGCCTAGCTCTGCACTCACACAGTCTATGTTCTCTGTCATGTTCAGGATGATGTAGTTTTTCCCAGCCAGGTTGCTCCAGTCTTTGCAGATCACCTGTACGATGAAACAAAAAGAAGAGCACCAGTTACACAGGCATCGGAAACAGCACTGGGAGAGAGTGTGGGTGGAAACTCTGGGAGCAGCTGGAGGTGAGGGCCAGGTGTAGGTTGTGAGAGCTAGGTGGGAGCTGACAGTCTCTGCAAGGTGACAACCCAGGACCCTGCCCAAGGTTCACAAACCCAGATGTCTTCAGGGGCCAAGCAGATGTTTTCAGTGAGAGAAGGAGGCCAGGTGTGACACATGGGAAGTGGGGACCTGTGTCAAAGGGGTCAGACTGCAGACTGCTTGCCCCAGCCGGAGGCCTTTAATGGCAAACTTGTGGGTCATGTTCTGCAGGCCAAACGAAAACACGCCTGTGGCCCAGACACCCAGGCCCCTTTCCCCCTTGTGTTGGGGGTGTGGGCACTGACTTGGGCATGTGCGCATGAGCATGCTGAGCAGGGGGTGATGAGGGGAGCAGAGGGCCACTGCACATGTGGTGGTGGGCATGGAGATGGAGTGGGGAGAGCACAGGTCAGGGCCCCACTCTCGGTGGCTGTTGTATGCAGTCGGGAGGCCCAGGGTAGCAGCCGTAGCACCTGGATAAGCAGAAACTAGACCAGGGCACCGAGCTTTTCTGTGGCTTTCCATTTTGCATGTCGGTGTGGTGAGGACACCCACTGCTGGGCCATGAGGTGTGCATCCCCACAAGTTCTGCTGGGGTTCTACCTGCTGCAGAGGGGCCTCCACCCTCAGCCTGGCAAACCCTTGCAACACACTGTGCAGCGCGGGGACGGCTAGACGGCCTGCACGCGCCTCCACTTTACCTGAGTAGAATCCCAGGGTGTTCTGGACGGAGCTTCGGCGGCCTGCCCTTCCCGGGGCTGCTGGCTGAGCTCTTCCTGCCCCAAGGTAGCAGAGGAAGGTGTCAGTTCCATGTCTTGGGGGGCCAGTGGGAAAGACGCTGAGGCTCCAGGGTAAAGGGGGTCTTCATCTGGGGTCTCAGCCCCGCTGGGAGCTTCTGTTTGAGGGAATGAAGCCAAGGACGGCACCTCCCCTTGCCTGCCAGCCCACCCAGCTGCTCCCACAGTGGCCTCCTCATCTGCCTCCTGAGGGGCCTCCAACTCTACCCCACGCCCTGTGGCTGGCAGCACTGTGCTCCCTGCCTCCTGGCTGGTGAAGTCCTGACCCCCCAGGGTCACTGTACTTGGGGTGACTGAGGGCGGTGGCAGGCTGGGCTCCATGCTGCTCCCCACCTCCACACCCGAGGAGGCCTGGTCCCCAGAATCTTCATGCCTGTGTTTGGCAGCCCCTGGAGTCTGGCTGCTGCCGATGGAAGAAAAGTCATGGACCTGAGTTTGGGCTTCTTCTTGGGATCTGTTCACAGGCAGCAGCGCCTCCTCTTCTTCCTCCTCCTCTTCCTTCTCTACCTCCTCCTTCTCCCTCTCCTCCTCCTCCTCCTCCTCCTCCTCTCCAGGAGCCATATGCCAGGGTGGCTCCACCAGGTTCATCTTGGGCAAGGGAGAGGGGAGGCTCGGCACCTCTTGACCCTGGCTGGTGTCTTCTATGGGACCTGCCTTCTCAGTCAAGTCTGGAAAAACGTAATCTAAGGACAGAGAGAGAAGGTTCATTCACTAGTTTAATCATTCGTTACTGGTTCAGTATTCACTGGGCAGATGATATAAAAGAACCACGAGACCCTCAGGAGAGGGGAGGTCGTGTGGGAAAGGAGTGGGAAGTAGGCTGGCTAAGGGAGGGCAGACTGTCGGAGAAACATGGGGCAGGCTGGTCCTCATTTCCTTCACGATAATAAAAATGACACAAATCTGCTACTAAAATCCCATGAATACAGGAATGTACACAGTAAAAGTCTGTGTGACCACCCCCTCAGAGATAGCCATTGTTAACAGTTTGATGTATATCTTCTCTATTGTCTTTATAATGTGTTTCTGTTTCCTTATCTGGAGACTTCACCAAGATCCCTTTAGTCCCTTGTCTAATGGGTTGTTAGGAGGGTCTTCTTGGTGAAAGTCCAGATGGGGTCTGAGAACCCTCTTACAACAGGAGCAGATGAGACCCATATATTACAACCATTGTTCCTAAACTGTGCTCTGTTTCTATAATTTAGGCCTTGACAAGGAAATGATAAAGATGCAAGGAGAGCTAGACAGAGGCCAGGGGCTGAGCCCAGAGGTTTCTAGAGCCTTCCAGAACTTCCAGGGTCCCTGCTGGCAGTGGGAGAGGGGATTTTTCTTCTCCCTGCTATTCTGAGGAATTACATTTTGAAGCAGAGAACTTAGAGAACTCCTGGAGACCAGGACATTTTCTGGCTTTTCAATGAATGCTAGGCCTCTTCAGGATAATGACATATGAAAACCATAGACCTGTTTTGTTGGAAATTCATTCAAATGACAGATTTTTGTGTGTGTGTGAGGAAGATGAGCACTGAGCTAACATCTGTTACCAATCCTCCTCTCTTTGCTGAGGAAGATTGACCCTGGGCTAACATCTGTGCCCATCCTCCTCTACTTTATATGTGGGACACCTGCCACAGCATGGCCCGATAAGCGATGCACAGGTCCGTGCCCAGGATCTGAACCCATGAACCCTGGGCTGCCGAAGCAGAGCATGCGAACCCAACCACTACACCACCAGGCCGGCCCCTCAAATGACAGATTTCTTTTTTAACTGCCAAATGAAAGTTTAAAAGTTTAGACAAATTTCTGCGAATATGGAAAGCAGATGAGATCATAGGAACAGATAACCTCTCAGCCAAAAGAAGCACAGGAAAAGACAGGAGTGGAGGAGGGAGGCTCTCTTACCAGAGAGTTAAGGAGAAAGAACAACTACGGGGTTCAAGGACATAGAATATAGAAAATTCATGGAAAAGAAGATAATTTTTAAAATTCCACTTAGTATCCTCGGAAAGACTCAAAGATATCGCATCCCTAAAATAAGAACAGGTTATAAGAAAATCAAGTAATGTTTAAAAAAGAAAAAGTTCTTGGAAATTAAACTTCAGTTGTTGAAACGTGAAAACTCAATAGAACGGTTGGAAGAAACAGTCAAGGAAAAGTCTCCAGAGCAAAAGCAAGAAGACAAGAAAGAAAAGTTAACAGATATACAGGACCAGTGCAGGAGGTCTGATGTCGAGCTAATATGATTTCCAAAAAGACAGGACCAACAAAATGGAGAGAATAAATAGCCACACAAAGCAGAAAATGTCCCAGGCCTGGCAACATGAATCTTCATATTGAAAGGGTACATAATCAAAGGTGAATGATAAAAGACTCACACCTAGCCTCATTCTCATCACATTTCAGAATTCTAAGGAGCAAGAGAAGATCCCAAAAACTCTCAGAGAAAGAATAGGTTACCTACAAAGGATATCAAATTATCACCAAGCTTCTAATCAATAACACTAGACTGCAGGAAGGAAACTGAAAAATGCATTCAAAATTCTGAGGGAAGATTATTTTGAAGCTGGAATTCTATATCCAACTAAACTATCATTCACGTGTGATTACAAAATAAAGACATTTTCATATATGCAAGAACTTAAAAGTTTTACTATCCATAGCTTCTGAGAGAATTACTTAAAGAAGTTCTCCAAGAAATCCAAAGAAGAAGACATGAAAAGTCAAGAACCATGAGAGGGATGTGATGAAAACAAATCTCAGGATGGAAGCTATGCAGCAGGCCTAGAGAGCAAGCAGCTCAAATCAGGACGAGGATCCAGAGGGCTCTCAGAAGAACTATCACACAAAGAAAAACTGATCCCCGTAAGAAAAAGCATGATTTTTAGCAGCTGAATAATCTTAGTGATAACTGAAAGTCCACTATAATATTTAAATAAATAAGTAGAATAGTCCGCCCAGCCCATTTTTGTTCATTGTACTTTTTAAGTAGCAGAGACTTAGTAACTGAAGCTCTTCTGTCCCCCTGCACCCACTCTGCAGGGAAGCTGACCTATCTCCACACACAGCAGTCAGGCACGACTCTCCAGGGAGAGGCCTGCTGGTAGGACAGTGACCCCAGAACTGCTGAGGAAACCCACGCCAGCCTCTAATAACTGAGCAATCTAGTACACCTTTATAAATATGAAATAATGAGCAAGATTCATAGGACATTTGAGGAAAGCCAGCCTCACGAAGAAGCATAAGGGAGAGAAAGCATGAGGGCGACCTCCGAGAAAAGAGTTACTCTAGTAAACAAGAGAGAACTTAGAAAAATTTCTCATTAACATCTTCAGACAGATTCAAGAAGAAATTATACCCATAAAACAAGAATAGAAGGGGGCTGGCCTGGTGGCGCAAGTGGTTAAGTGCACACACTCCGCTGCGGCGGCCCGGGGTTCACCAGTTTGGATCCCGGGCGCGCACCAACGCACCGCTTGGCAAGCCATGCTGTGGCGGCGTCCCATATAAAGTAGAGGAAGATGGGCATGGATGTTAGCTCAGGGCCAGTCTTCCTCAGCAAAAAGAGGAAGATTGGCAGATGTTAGCTCAGGGCCGATCTTCCTCACAAAAAAAAATAAAAAACAAGTATAGAAGAATAGAATATATAAAAGAATAAAAATATTTTACTTCAATAGAAGAACTTTATAATAGATAGATCTGTTTAAAATTAATATGCAATGCATTAAAACATAATTGAAGTGGGCTAGATGACCACCTGACAGGAATACTACATAACAGAATGTCAGATGGGTGCTTGGGAAATACAACATACAAAATCTCTTACAATCATACGATTTCATGACTAGAAGATTAATCTGACAGCAATAAGAATTAGATGAAGGAGAAGATGAATAAAAGCAGAGAAAAGAGTTAGGGGGCTCGTTGCAATGGTTCAGGAGAGATAAATGAAGGTGATAACATTAGAAATGATAAGAGAAGAAGGGATTCAAGAGATGGCCCTGAGGTAGAATTGATAAAATGTGTGAGTTGGCTAACAGGAAGAAGTTAGCACTCTGGCTGACTGTGGGAGTAGCCACACCATTCACAGAGATGGTGAACTCTAGAGGAAAAGTGCACTGGAAACCCTCAAGAAGCACTTGAAATAGCCAACAGATGAGAATGTGGCAGGAAGATGGTGGATGGGGACGCACTCCCTGGCAGAACCCCACTTGGGTAGGGGAGTTCCCTAGAAGGCAAGCTGACCAAAACAACTTGTCTACTCAGTTTGACGCTGTCTTTCCAAAAGTCTGAGTCTCTATACCTCCAGAGAAAGCCTGGCTCCCAAGAGAATTCCCTACACTGTTTACATCCTCCTCTAAGATGGCCAATAATAGCAGTCATGCTCTTGGTGACATGATCTGGAAGCTAGAAGACTTAGCCACCAACTTACTTGTCTAAGCAACGGTCAGTCCCCTGGCTTCTTGGGGCTTCAGTTTTTCGTATGACAAATGAGGATGCTGGTATATGTGATTTCTAAGATTCTTTCTAGCACTAATATTCTAAGCCTTAGTTTCGATAAATGTGTCTTATACACCATTGGCATTCAAAACAACAACTCCTCTACTGTCCTAAATAAGAATTAAATGTAATTCACTAGATTATAAGCCCCTTTTGACAAGCAAGGTGATTTTCTTCGTGTCTGTATTCCCAGCACCTAACACAGCGCCTGGTCCAGAGCAGAAAGGAGAGCAATGCGTGGTGTTGAACGCTTGACTCCCATCTTCTGCCTCCTTCTGTCCTTCTAGGGAGAGAAAAAAGCCTCCAATCACAGTGCAGACTTCCCCTGCACTATTTCCATTAGCGCCTCCTCCGCCTCCTTCCGTGTGATCACTTCCAAACAGCCAGCCCTTGACTCAGCATTTCTGCATGTCTTTCTCCACGAGGTCACTGATTCCAAAGATGTGATCTATTGTCTCTGTGCTACCAAATCTCCATTTCGCACCAAGCCTCCCCCATCCAGCTTCTCCTCTCCAGTGACCTGACAGGCCACTGAGCGATGCTCACTGGCACTCGGAAGCAGCAGGATTTTTCCTACTTCTTTACCACCTCTCAGCACCAAAAATTATTCCTTTTCCTTTTCCTGCATGATCTCAGTATATCAACTGACATACTATGATATTCCTGCCTTGGACATGTTACTTAACCTCTACGTGTCTCCTTTTCCTTATATGTAAAATAATAATAGTACCTAGCACATAGGGCTGTGGTCAGGACACAATGAGATTAAACGTGGGTACAGCCCATGGTACAGAGCATATTCCTCCACCACCTCCTGCCCCATTATTGTCATTAAAGGAATTTTTATATTGTAAAATCATAATAGGAAAAGTAGCACTATTCTGGAAGTCCACTCCCCAGGATGAGGGGCAGGATCAGCACTTGAGTGATAAGTCAGAGAGAATCCAGGAGAGAGGGCAGGGCAGGAGAGGATTGATCGTCTATTGACAAGTCTAAATAACGATGTGAATATGAAACGTCTCTGACACCAGAAACAAGAATTTAACGGGAAGCCTAATGGGAGCACAGACTGTGAAGCAGAGGTGTAACAGGAAGCCAGCCATGAGCAGCTGTGGGACAGACCCGATGGGATGAAAACGGGGGTCCCAGGCAGTGGGTAGTAGGCTTGGACCCAAATATGAATGTAGAC